GTGTGTGTGTGTGTGCAATGCATGCAACATTTAATTCCACGACTTTATGCATTCAAGACTTTCTGCTCCAGTTTAAGACCTTTTTAGGCCCTTAATTTGTGGAGGGGCGAATTAAGATTTATAAAGACCTTTTGAAGACCCACAGAAACCCTGTGTTAAACATGATCTGTTATCTATGATTTAATCATTAATTCACTTTTCTTCCACTTTTCAAGAAACCTGGTCTAATGTAATGACATCCAGACATTTGTAAGTGTAGTTTTCATGGCCGCCGTATGACTGCCAATGCATTAATGAATGATTCATGTCGCTTCACCTGCAGTTGAACAAATATCTCTTCAGAAGCGAAGACTCTGGGCTACAGGAACCCCTGCCATCTCTCCGAACTCGGCTGTGAAGTCTGTCACAGTGTATATCCTGATCCTTTGTAGATGTTAAAGCAGAAACTATTCGTACGGCACACAGAGGTAAATCCAGACATCACTGAAACCGTCACGGCCAACGTGCGAAGCCTGCCGAAGTTCAAATAGCAGATTTCGACAGAGCTTAGCCTCGACAGAGCTGCAGATTTGCATTTTGAGCCGTAAAGTTTTTGAAGACTGTTTCGGAGGTAAACATGATGTTTTCTCGCTGTCGTAATCCCGTTACACTGATGCTCAGTCACATTAGTCATCCTGAGATATAGAGAAATGTCATGTGAGGAAAACTCATATAGCACCCGTGACTAATAGCTCTATAGTCAAAACCTCGCTGAATTCAACAAGCTCGCTCAATTACACCCTCCGTCAATGTCAAAAGTCAGCTCCTGATGAATGCCACGGCTGACGCGTAGTTTTACAGAGGAGCTTCACGAAGGATTGGGACGGCTCTATCGAGCAACAAAATCTGGGCATTTATTTATTTATATAGGTTTATTTTTTGCAGATGCACCACAGTCGAGCGCTGAAGGTCTGAGATGGTTTGATATCTATTTATAATCGGCTTAAATTGTGCTGCATTATTCACATCTATCTCTTCAACACAATTCATATCAGCAATTACAAATCACAATCATGCAGCTAAAATCTGGATTTGCGCACGGTGTTGGCGCTGTAAGGAGCACACGACGTCAGAGAACTATAACAGTCTTTAATAAATCCACAAGAGAAACTAAGAGAACACACAGCACTACCAACATGAAACATGCAATACAGGACAAAGGAACTCAGGAGAACACAGGGCTTAAATGAACGGAGACGAACGAGATAATTAATAAACACAGGTGGAAACGAATGAACGGGCAGGTAGAACAGAAAACACAATGAAAACTGACTAGACATGTTACACATATAAGTAAATTAAGCATTTATATATTTACTGATATGCAATGCAAATAAAAACAGATGAATGCACATGTGACCCTGGAGCACAAAACCAGTCATGAGTAGCACAGGTATATTTGTAGCAATAGCCAACAATAAATTTGTATGGGTCAAAATTATTGATTTTTCTTTTATGCCAAAAATCAAATCAAATTAAGTAAAGATATTAAGTAAATGGTTATTTTAATAATTTCAGCTATTTTTTTTTTTTGTCTTGACTATATGTAAACATCTTTTATGTAAAATATCTTACTCGGGACAGTAGGCCTACTAAATAAAAAAATAACATGCATTTTGTATGATCTCTCTTATTTTGTTAAAATTATTCACATTTTCTGCAAGGGGTTCCCAAACTTTCGCATTGCCACTGTATACACACACACACACACACACACACACACACACACAGTATAAAATATATATAAATGTATGCATTCAAACAAAGCTAATCTATTCTAAAAATATATATTCTACCCATATAAATAAATAAATAAATGAAGAGAATATATTCCATTAAAAATCTGTCTCTCTCTCACACACACACACACACACACACACACACAAACACATGCATAGTGTAAAATAAATAAACGTAAAAAAAAAACTAAAACTGGGCTTGATTGGTCTTAACGTGTAAAACAGCTGAAAATGAAGTTTGAAGTTTATTTAGGCAATTTGTGTTATAGGTGGTTACTAGGCAGTTACTGAGCGGTTGCTAAGCAGTTGATACAGCATGATACATCGACAGAGAGCCAGACTCAGAAGACTCCATCAGTGTAAGTCTGAGGGATTTCTGGGATATTTCATTATCTGCTTGAAGTCTGACCAGTAAGAACAAGATAAAACGTCTAAAGTCAGAACAGGTTGGAGGTCTGAGGTGAGTCTGCTTGCTCCACGAGGACTCAGAGTCAGACATTTCACTCTTAGGTTTGAGAGAAGCCTGAGGCGAGTTTTCACACTAGCAGCATGTTAGCTCACATAATAAATCAAACACACGTTTCAATTTGAGTTTGTGTCTGACTATCGTGAAGCCAATAAAACAAACACATCACACCTCATTAACACCGTGCGAGTTGCTGCCGTCACGAAAAGTCACGGTCTCAGTTACTATAAAACACTGTCGCATCTTGTGTCCTAGTCACCCTGGTGTGCTAACAAAATGTAAACATGAATAGGAATACACTTCAGAGAAATTTTACTCATAAGAATTTCTAGGGGTGCCAAGAATTGCGGCCAACATGCATTGGAGAAAAACATTTATTTCATAATGAGATTTTCTGAGAACTAAAGCACATCAACAAGATTTACAAAGCAAGTAAGACATAAAAAGCCAGCCTGAAATAAACTACTACTGACAAGATAAACTAGTATACTGACGGTGCACGGTGATAGCGCTGTTTTCACTTTAACACACTTATCTGCGTGTCAAGACCATGTTATCTGGGAATCTTCATCAGAGTTTAGGTACATTATTACTTTCCAAAAACATCAGTCTTTAAAGGAATGTCTTTAGTCTATGGAAGCACAGCTAATTGTGCCACAGAATAAGAAGGTAATTTCAGCTTTTTCCTCTCTCAGTTCTATAGTAACAATATTAATAAATAAACTCACATTTCTGAAAAGAGAAGTTCAAATAGTGAGATGTAATCTTAAAAATGTGGGGAAAAGTCCAAATTGTGAGATATAAACTACATTTCTGAGAAGAAAAGTACAAATTGTGTGACATAAACTTGTGTTTGTGAAAATAAGTGCAAATTGTGAGATATAAACTTGCATTTCTGAGAAGAAAAGTACAAACTGTGAGATATAAATGTATGTTTCTGAGAGGAAAACTCCAAATTGTAAGATATATTCTCAAATTTCTGAGAAGAAAAGTACAAATTGTGTGACATAAACTTGTGTTTGTGAAAATAAGTCCAAATTGTAAGATATATTCTCAAATTTCTGAGAAGAAAATTCCAAATTGTGAGATATAAACTTACATTTTTGAGAAGAAAAGTCCAAGCTGTGCGATATAAACAATTGTGCAATATAAATTGTGAGATTTAAACTCACAATTGTGAGAAAAAAAGTCAGAAATACGGAATGTTAACTGCCAATTCAAAGAAGAGTCCAAATTATAAAAATTATAAAAAATCTGAATCATGAGATAAAAAGTTGCAGTTACCTTTTCATTTTTTTTAATTGGTCAGCTTCTATATTAAGCAACATGTCATCAGACTCATTCCTGCAGAAACAAATGCACCAGAAATAACACAACACCACCAGATGTATATATACGGTCACTGTGATTTGGCCAAGTAAGACATGTTCCTGGATCAACATAACTGTCCAAAAATATAGACTTAACCCAATCCCTACCCCTAAACCTAACCC